ACCCCAAAACCCCAAAACCCCAAGATCTCATTGTGACTGTGTTTTGTTATGTGAGAGTAAAATAAAAGAAACTTTAAAATCTTTATAATAGATCTCTAATACAAAATGGAGTCAAAATCTTTCTAGTAAGATTAAGCTCAAGAAGTTAATTATGAGTGCAACAACAATTAGATATGGGTGAAAACTTTGGAAAATAGTGACCTATTATTCAAGTATTATGATCCTAATGTGAAGGAGGAGAAAGATGATAAGAAGATAAAGGATGAGTAGATATTTCCTAAAACTTCGACAATACAAAAAATCAAGAAATTCACTAGCTTGAAGCAGAAAATAGCAAAAGAGGCTCTAAATCTTGAGATCGACACACCGGTATATGTGAACACATACAAATAGTATGGAGTCATTAGGAAAGTGATAAAGGGTTAAGTAGCTGGTGAATCTGAAGTGGATAGTAAACTTTAGAAAGAAGAGAAGGCAATTTAATATGAAGTTAGACTGTCGACATCGCTTGAAAATGTGCTTGCTGATCCTTCAGACTTAAAAAGACTTATTACTATTAGAATCAGAATGCATTCTTCAAAAGGAGGAGAAGAGTAATATATCTAGATGTAGGTGAAGGTAGATAGCACAGTTGTATAATTATTGTAATACATTTCGCAAATCGCATAAGTACCTCCCAACTTTATCAACTTATATCACAAAAAGAAACGTCTATCTAATTCTGACTAGCTGTATAAGGAAAACATCATCGACAATGATAAATTACTTTGCCTTCAAGGATAGGGGGATATGCACGTCTATCACAGATTCAAAGTAGTTTCATCCAGTGGTTGGTGCTACTCTCAGACATCATGGGATGCAATTACATGGAGACCAAATAGAACTATCATGGTAGCTGGTTTTGGGGCTTACGGATTGACTTCTGGTCAGCAATCCTACTTCGTTAGATACAAATACATTGTGTAGAATGCTCCAAGTGACGAATTTGTAGTTGAGGTATCAAGCAATGAAGTAGATGAATAACTAAAAATATACCCCTTGATGTTTGAGGGAGAGATGATAGAGGTTCCAGCTGGAACTGACTTTACAGTATAAATGAGAGGTTATGGAGCCAACAATAATTTTAGAGTGAGAGGATACTACGGTTATAATGGCAACTCCTATAAATCCTTTGATAATCAGGACAGAGATCTATTTGAAATTACCTACTCCAATCTCAGTAGTAATGGTACAGGAGTAGATAGCGGGCAAATACCTTCGCTTTACTACTACGTTGTAGGATGAAATAATTCATTGTATGATCTATTGTTTTTATTTATACAACGAAATCTAAACTAACCTAGCTGCCACTTGGGGTTTTGGGGTTTTGGGGTTTTGGGGTTTTGGGG